GGCCTCGCCGCCGAGCCCGGGTCAGAGCCGGGCGGGGTGGGGGGTGGAGGACCGGCCTCACCGCCGCCGCAGCAGCCTCGGGGAGATTGAGGGGGGGGGATGGAGGAGATGGAGCTCTTCTCCCCCCCCCGCGAGTATCGCGGGTCCCCCTCTTGTTATTATTATTTGTCTTTATTTTTATTGCTTTTCTACAAACACTATAGGAAGGGGAAAATAGGGGGATTACGAAGACTAACAAATTAAACTACGAAATAAAGCAAGGATCATAAACATACAAACATAATCATTTGTCATTCCTACAGATTAGATGTAAGAAAGAAAAGAAAGTATAAAATGTTACTGTTTGATTTCTTACCATAATAAAGCTATTTTAAGCCTATTTTGGAGAACATTATAGCCTATAATTTTTAACATTTGAGCTTTCAGTATTCCCAAATGTTACAAAAAAATTGTTATTTTCTCCTGTGCTTGTTTTTATCATAAAACAGCTTCAACTTAAGAGTTTTAGGCGCTGCTGCCTCTCCTTCTTCAGAGTCAGACTCTTCTGGAGAGCTACCAGAACCGCTTAAGTTGTCATCAGACTCGTGGGCACTTTTGGCTTCTTCTTGTGTGTTGTCTTCTGCTGTTCCTTTGTCTTTTGTTGCTCTTCTTTGTTGATCCAGAAAAGACTGCTTTCTGAGCAGAGTCAATCTTAATCTTTTTATCGCTATATGTGAACGAAGTCCTTCTGGAAACAACCATCTGAAGGGGATGGAATTATCATGTAAAAAATTGCCGTTTCCTTTTTCTTATTTCAAATGGGATGTCCTTCAAAACTTTCGCTTCTTTGCCTTTGATTTTCAAAGGGTTTCCAGTTGTCACTTCAAGATTACATCTCTTGTAGACCTTTTGGAGAATTTAACAAATATTTCACCAGGAAGTTTATTTTTCTCGATAAAATCCAGATAGGTTCGATAAACCAAGTCCATATTGCTTTGTAGTATATCCGCTTTAAAATCTATCACTGGTGCCAACGCTTCACTTAATATTTCTTTTAGATTCTTCCCTTTCTGTTTTGGGACCCCTTGAAAACAGGACATACATTGATTTCTCCATTTGAAGCTGTAATAACTGCTCTTTTTCGGAGATCCGTTCTTTTTCCACTTCTTCCAGTTGCTGTTTGATATGATCCGCCTTAGCATCCACTTAATTACTTTGTCCATTTCATCTGCTCTCTTATCCATTCCCACCAATTGTTTCTGGAAACAGTCATTATTGACGTTAGACCTCTGGTCCAGCAGAGGGCACAATGCCGCTGCCATCATAGTAGGGAAGTCAGCAGCTGCTTCCGGAGTTGAAGCCGCAGAATGGGCAGGTCCAGGAGAAGGTCTTTTCCTCCACACCATTTTCTCTGCTCTTCCCAACATGTTTACACGAGATAAGACTCATTTGAACAAGCTGAAAGTTCATCAATTTCAGAGCGCTTTGGGCTACTTTCCACCCTATTTGTTTTATTTAAAGATCTCTTGCTGCTGTCATTGGTTTGCCTCCAAACCACCGCACATGAACCGCTGTTCTTCATGGGGGGGGGGGAATCCCCTCCTCCCCCTCTATGTTTGGTTGGGGGTAAGTCCGTTTCTCCGATTTTTGGCTCACACAGCTTAGAGGGGCTTGCTTTACTCACAGGCCAATCAGTCCGCTTTTCAGGCTGCAGGAAAATTGTTGTGTCACTTGATCCAGAGAGCCAGACTGGTGTAGTGGTTAAGTGCGTGGACTTTAATCTGATAAGAGCTTTTTTTTGAAAAAGAGCAGTTTCTGTCAGAGTTCTCTCAGCCCCACCTACCTCACAGGGTGTATGTTGTGGGGAGGGGAAGGGAAAGGAGTTTGTAAGCCGCTCTGAGACTCCCTTGGGTAGTGAAGGGTGGGGTATAAATCCAATCTCTTCTTCTCTTCACAGATACCCTTGGGTAATGAAGGGCAGGGTATAAATCCAATATCTTCTTCTTGATCACTTGCCCGCTTCGTCTGGTATGCACCTCAAAATCGCCATATTGGCCTCGCGGCGGCAGGACCTTCCTCAGCCATCACCTTGGAAGAGGCACCCCTCACACCCCAGGCTAGGAGCCCCCTACAAGGGCTCCGGAGGGACTCGAAATCATCCGAGCTCCTTCCCGTCCGCTGTGATCCAGGGCGCCCACATCAGAGCTAAATGGGGCATGCCTGGTCCAAGAGTCATCAAAACCGGAAGTCCGGCAGCCTTATTGTTGTTGTTTGGCAGAGTTCGATCAGGTCCTCCCTAGGGCTGGGGATCGCCAACAAGTTGTTATTAGACAATCTCAGTGTTCTTCTGGGGGCATATTGGAGGAGATGGTCCCAAACGTATGTGGGTCCCTGACCACTCAAATAGCAGAACACTTTACTATTATTTCAAAGGTTTCATTAGGGTATACCTGTGCAATGTAAGCATTATGGAAATCAGTTTGATTTAAAGTTGCGTTTTTATTTATATCCTGCCTCTCTTCCCAATGGGGGACCCAAAGCTACCTACATCATTGTTTATTTTATCCTCACAGCACCCCTTTGAGGTAGGTTAGGCTGTGAGAATGCAGCTGACCCAAGGCCACCCTGCAAGCTTCCATGGCAGAATAAGGATTCAGACTTGGACTTTCCAGATCCTAGTTTGACATAACCACTACACCATGCTATATATATGACTACTGAAGTCATGTGCAACCTAGACCAATTTCCAACTTTTTTTAAAAAAATACATGATTCCCAGCAACTGACTGGGCATGTTTGTAAGAGAGGAACGAAGATGGGCGCAAGTCACACATATTTGTTGAAAATTCTTTGCTCAACTGAACTTTTTAAACAGGATAAAGTTAATGGGCTGGACCCATCAATGGAAGGTTCTGACAGGTGCAGATCTCATTTCCTTGCACTCAGCAGTCCTTTTTGACCCCAGGGAGGTGCCATGATGATGGGGCAAAATTGCCCTCTCCTCCCTCTGCCAACAGCATAGCTGTGCTGATGAGAAGAGGAAGACAGGGTGATTCTCCCCATTCCTCCTCTTCATAGGCCAACCGACCAGCATAAGGAGTAATTCTTTGGGTCATGTGACCTACATGGATGAACTGTATCCAGAATGGAAGGGGGGAACAAGGAAAGTATTCACAGTCCTTGCACCCATAGATCATTGGATCAGATGTAATTAGTAATACTAACAATACAGGGGAGAGCAAATGGGGTATGCAACAGTCACTCATTAGGCAAATGCTGGGACTTTTATAAACAAAAACACTAAAAAAAAGATTAAAATCTTTTAATATCCTTTGAAATTGCACTTAGTTTTTTCAGACTTTAACACTCAAATCACAGTTCTGAGAGGTTTCTCCCCCCACTCATTAGAATGAAGGATGCTCAGCTGAGCCTGGACACAGAAAGGTTATACTGGAACACATTTTATAGTCTTGAAGATACCAGTGGACTCCTGTTGTAACAAAGGTGCCCATCTGGCACATTTATTTAATAAAACATCAGTGGCACTTTCTGGTGAATTCTTCCACAGGCTATGGTGTATTCACCCTGGACCAAGGAGATTTCAATAACCATGGACAAATCTCAGATGTTCCGCTCTTGAGCAAGGTGACTGAACAGGGAGTATCTAGCCAACTTTAAGTATTCCCTAGATGAAGCAGATTTTAGGATTCTTTCCAATCCAGTTTCAGGCCTAGGTATAGGACTGAAGCAGCTTTTGTCATGCTGGTGGATGACCTGTGCCAAGATATGGACAGAGGGAGTGCAAGTCAGTTGATTCTCCTGGATCTCTCTGTGGCTGTTCACACAATTGATCATGGCATCCTTCTGGACTGGGAGGCATCATTTTGTGGTGGTTCCAGTTCAACCTGATGAATAATTTCAAAAGGTGGTGCTCCATCTTGACTTCTATGCTGTTCAGCATCTACATGAAACCACTGGGTGAGGTCATGTGGAAATTCAGGCTGGGTTGTCACCAATATGTGGACGACACCCAACTCTACCCTGAACCAGCTACAATTTACAATTTTTGTAAATTAATAGTAATTTATCTGAGCCAGAATTTTATCTACGAATACAATTTTCTACTACAATGACTACTATATAAGACTTCTATAAACACAAGATTCTGTAGTCGGGTATTTGGATTGCGGGGGGGGGGGGGAGTCTATTGTATAATATTAAACCCTGTCCAAGGATCGAGCAACCTAACACTTCAGTTAAAATTATCAATAAATTAACAGCAGAATTCCTAAATGAATAACCCTGCTGTTAGATGGCACTTCGTAGGCCAGAAACCAAAGTGCCTACAGATCTTCTCAGTGACTCTCCTCTTCAGGAAAAAAGGGCTCAAGCTCTATTACAGGAGGAAAACATGACTCCATTGGCTATTCTTCAACTGGAAAATTTACAGCATGAAATATTTACAGAGAGGTACAAACTCCAACATTTATGGTTCTACAAAGCCCATCTACAATCAGAAGAATGCCACACAAGTTCAGTATGGAGCTTTAAACAGTTACTCCAAGTCTGGTTGTTGCAGCCTTTGCTCTCTGTTCTTGTTTCTGGTGAACTCCCTAAGCATCTCCATGACTTCATTCTGAAAGACTTCTGGAACTGGCTTTGCTTCTTTGGAGAGAAAGAGAGAGAGAAACATAGCATTAATAACTGTACTGCTATTGTCTGAAGATCATGTACAAATCCAATAAATTTTCCAAAGCCCAGTTAGGCTACTCACATAAAATAAATTGATCCCTAGATGGCAAACAGCAACAACAAAAAAGGCCTTGTTTTACCAACTGTAACAAATGAAAATCATTTTTATGATATGAAAATTATGGACCTTGGAGTTTCTTAGCAACCTTATACTGTACAAAGTATCATCATAACTTACACAGCAGTTGTACAGCCTACTCCCATGAATGCTGATCAAGGGTAAGTCCTGCTCACTTCAAAGAAGCAGACTCCCAAGTAAGTACAAATACAAATAAGTACAAATACAAGTGGAGTCTTAAAGCACAGATTACATTACAATTATACACTTACTGGGCCTAGAAAAACACACCAACTTTCTAAGTAACCACATCAAATGTTAAGTCCCTTCTGACCCTAGGAAGATCTACATGGAGATGTGGCTGCATGGGCTGGAGCAAGGCTGCACGTGCAGAAGATGGAGGAGCAAATTCACCCCTTGACCTTTCAAACTCCAGCCCCCTCCTCCATGCAGCTATTCTTCCACTAAGCTCTTGAGGTCATAAACTCACCCTGGGTCTATAAGTTCTTATATGTCTGTTGCATGCTTGTCTGTGTGTAAAGCGTGTTCCTTTTTGTTGTGCCACCACCCTAAGTAAAAATCCAGCCTCCCACATTATCAGTGACTTGGGAAACACTGGTAAAGGCTGCCTCTAAGCAAGTACAAAGGGCAGAGTTTTCCAATTACTTCAACCCATCCCATGGTGGGGGGATCTAAGGCACGCATGAGGAACAGATGGATCACAGTCTGCTTTCCTAAACAGGAAACATTTTTACTACTACTGCCACAGGCAGCAGCTAGGGAGGTTTACTATTGGCTGCCACCACTCTGGCATGGGTCTCCTTGGGAGGGCCCAGAGCACCCACCCTACCCCTCTTACAGGACTTTTACAATAGGTTTCCCCTTGTACATGGCCAAATGAGGCGTGAGGACCCAGGCAGAGTAGCAAGTAGTTTTATTAAGAAATTTAACAACTTTAGATTTATAACAAGTAGGAAAAATGAGCCAAGTAAAGGCAGGTAAATCAGTAAAATAATAAATCCTAACACGTCTGTCTGCACAGTCCTAGCCCTCCCTAGGTACCTGTTCACAGACTCACCCACTCCTTTTGGTGAGCTTCCATCTCTCCCTGAGAGAGAACACCCTCCCACTCTGGGTATCTCCTCTTTCCAGGCACCGCCCTCTGTTCCCCTGCTGATGTAGTCTTCCCTCCAAAATCTCCTCTTACCCAATCACAGGGTCCAGGGGGAACCTGGGAAATGTAGGCCCTGATGATTACTCCAATGCAGGCTTCCTGGGAGCCACTAGGCCTCCCCAGAGCCTATAGGCTGCACTACAGGCCCATGATCATGAGAACTACAGATTAAGCTAGAGCACAAAGAGGGAAAATAGCCATCAGCAACCTACTGGTTACAGACCTAATGAAAACAGAAACGTAACACTAAACTAAACTTAACAATACAGCACAACACAGTTACCTCACACAACCACTTTTAACTCACACAACCACTTTTAACTTTAAAAGGGGTAATTTTTCTGATATGAGGGGACATGTGGGGAGGAAACTGAAGGGAAAAGTAGAAAGGGTCAAAACCATTGGGGAAGCTTGGAAGCTTGGAAACTGTTTAAAACTACAATTCTAGAAGCTAAAAAAATATATATTCCGCAGGTTAGGAAAGGCACAAACAGGTATAAGAAAAAGCCTACATGGTTAACAAACAAAGTAATGGGAAGCTGTAAAAGGTAAAAAGGATTCCTTTAAGCGGTGGAAAGCTAGTCACAGTGAGGCTGATAAAACAGAACACAGGCTATGGCAAATAAAATGCAAGTCTGTGGTCAGGCAGGCAAAAAGGGAATATGAGGAGCATATAGCAAAAAATGTAAAGACCAACAATAAAACTTTCTTCAAATACATTAGAAACAGGAAACCAGCCAGGGAGGCAGTGGGGCCCTTGGATGACCAAGGGGTAAAAGGAGTACTGAAGGATGATAGGGAAATGGCTGAGAAGCTAAATGCATTTTTTGCCTCCGTCTTCACTGTGGAAGATGAGAGGTGCTTGCCCACTCCAGAGCCGCTGAGTTCGGGAGGGGTGTTGAAAGACCTGAGTCAGATTGAGGTGACGAGAGAGGAGGTCCTAAAACTGATAAACAACTTAAAAACTGATAAATCACCAGGCCCAGATGGCATACATCCAAGAGTTCTGAAAGAACTCAATTGTGAACTTGTGGATCTCCTGACAAAAATATGTAATCTCTCCTTAAAATCAGCCTCCATTCCTGAGGACTGGAAGGTAGCTAATGTCACTCCCATCTTTAAAAAGGGTTCCAGAGGAGATCCGGGAAATTACAGGCCAGTCAGTCTGACGTCGATACCGGGTAAATTGGTGGAAACCATTATTAAGGAAAGAATTAGTAGGCACATAGATGAACAAAACCTATTGAGGCAGACTCAACATGGGTTCTGTAAGGGAAGATCTTGTCTCACTAACCTGTTAATGTTCTTTGAGGGGGTGAACAAACATGTGGACAAGGGGGATCCAATAGATATTGTTTACCTTGACTTCCAGAAAGCTTTTGATAAAGTTCCTCATCAAAGGCTCCTAAGTAAGCTCAAAAATCATGGGATAAAAGGACAAGTCCTTTTATGGATCAAAAACTGGCTAATTAATAGAAAACAGAGAGTGAGTATAAATGGGCAGTTCTCCCAGTGGAGGGGGGTAAGCAGTGGGGTACCACAGGGATCAGTACTTGGTCCACTGCTTTTTAACTTGTTCATTAATGATTTGGAGTTCGGAGTAAGCAGTGAAGTGGCTAAATTTGCGGATGACACAAAGTTGTTCAGGGTGGTGAAAACCAGTGAGGATTGTGAGGCACTCCAAAGGGATCTGTCAAAGATGGGCGAGTGGGCGTCAACATGGCAAATGGGGTTCAATGTGGCCAAGTGCAAGGTGATGCACATTGGAGGCAAAAATCCTAAATATAAATATACGTTGATGGGGTCTGAACTGGCAGAAACTGATCAAGAGAGAGATCTTGGAGTTGTAGTAGATAACTCACTGAAAATGTGCAGACAGTGTGTGACTGCAATAAATCTCATTACTAAAAGCATATTTTACAACAACTATCCAGCTTGCTTTCCACGGCAGGTAGGCAAATGGTAATCCCCCTGCAGAAATACATCTTCCTATCTCTTTGTACATGTTACGGCTCTCTTCCCTAAGAAAATAAAAGGTTGTCAGGATCCCTGATGGCACTTCAAAGCACCTTGTATCTCCAAATTACAACACTTGCAACCCTGGGAATGATCTTTCTGGAGGTCAAAATAAGCTGCTTGAATGAACAGGAATGTAGGAAAACTCAATGTTTGTGTACAGAATTTTAGGATACCATCTAGTCATTAGCACGTTGGGCTATGGTTCAAGTAAGTCAGTCTCAAATCCCCACTTTGCTATGAGGCCTACTTGGTGATCTTGGGCCAGTCACTCTCTCAGCTTAATCCACCTCCCAGGGTTGCTGTGAGAATAAAATCAGGAAGCATGTCTGCCACCTTGAGGTCTTTTGGGGAAAGCGAGATTTTATAAAGAATAAAAATGTGCAGTTTTAGTTGTGTTGACACATGAAGGAGAATTTCAAATGCTCAGTACCAACTTTCTAAGCATTTAGACATCCACACACTAGGGAGGTTTTTCCTCCCAGCCTTGCTCACAAGAACACTACCATCTATCTTTTACAGATGGGCATCAGAGCCCACAGGACTATGCATAAAGGACCACGTCATATCCAAATAAATCATTACATTATGAAAAAAAGGAAAACGAAAAAGGAAACCTAAAAATAGTGGCCCGAAAAGATACCACTTGACATTACCTGTTGCCCAGTAGTAGATATCCCAGTCATTACTAGGCTCGTTAATCAGGCGATCATAAAGGTCCAGCTGTTGTTCATTCATTCTATTCAGGTTTTCTTTGGCAAAGAAACTGAGAGAAACAATAAGATTATTGCCCCTGGCTTTCCCCTGTGAAACGAGAACAGGAAGGGTTACTAGGGAAGCACAAACAGTGCAAGACAGGCCAATAACCCCCCAGACCAGCAAAGAGATGTTATGAAAGCTAAAATACCCCCCCCAACACTCCTGTACCCTAAGGGGGGGGGGAGAAAGCAAGAAGCGCACCCAAGCAGAAGACAGTTTTCCAGCATGCCTCTCTTGCGACTCTCGTACAGCAGTCTGGCGCGCTTGGTCGCCAAGGGCTCCTGGGGCCGACGGTGCCACGGCGGCAGCGGAATTTCCAGCAGGTCCCGGCCAGAGTCCGAGGGCGAATCCCCACGATAGCCGCGCCTCGACACAGGGAGGAGGCGGAGAGGGCGAGATGAGAAGCGCTGGGGGGAAAGGGAGGAAGAAGAAGAAGAGATTGGATTTATACCCTGTCCTTCACTACCCAAAGGAGTCTCAGAGGGGCTTACAATCTCCTTTCCCTTCCTGATGCTTTAGAAGAAGAGAAGAGATTGGATTTATACCCCGCCCATCACTACCCAAAGGAGTCTCAGAGCAGCTTACAGTCCTCTTTCCCTTCCTGATGCTTTAGAAGAAGAGAAGAAGAGATTGGATTTATACACCGCCCTTCACTCGTTGATGCGCTCAGCTTGTCATGCGCACATCTCGCCAGCACCTCTGCATTCCTTCCTGTATATGTCAGCCATGCTTTGATGTAACGTTATCTAGCCAAGGCCACAGGTGGAAGAGCAAGAGAGCTTTGCTTTGACTTTAATTAGTAGAGACTGTGAGAAAGTGTATGCTTATTTATAATAAGGTAGCCGTTGCTTTCCCAAGGATTAGGCACGTAAGAAACCTTTGGGCGCGCACGGGAATCATGTTTATTGGCTGTATTGATTATGAACTTGCTTTAACCTTCCCAGCTCTCCGAGTTATCGCTATTCTGAACAGTGCCTCTGTTCAAGTGCTTCATGGCTTCAATAAAGTAAAACCTTCCTGCAAGTGTGTACTTTGTTGTTTGCTGTGGGGTCTGACACCCTTCCCCTCTCCACAGCGGGTGGGGCTGAGGGAGCTCTGACAGAAACTGCTCTTTTTTAAGGACAGCTCCTTATCAGAGCTACGGCTTGCCCAAGGCGATCCAGCCAGGTGCGAGTGGAGGAGGAGTGGGGAATCGAACCCGGTCCCCCCAGATCAGAGTCCGCGCACTTCACCACGACACCAAAAGGGGCAAATGCCAAACGGCCGGAGACCGAGCCGGAGGCCCGTTCACAGCCCCAGTACTGCCTCCGACAGCGGCCCCAGAGGGACACTCTCCCTCCTCTCCCCGGAAATTCCTTCCCAGGATTCCCAAGAGCGCCAAGTCGTGCCCTTCTGCGTGCCGGGCGGGCGGGCGGCCTGCCTGCCCCCGGAGCCACAAGGCCGCCAAGTGTGTGTGTGTGTCGTGTCCTTCCCCTCCCCTCCCCTCCCCTCCCGGCGGATTCGTGTACCCTTCCCCCCACACTCACTCTAACGATGAGCGCGGCCATGCTCTCCACCCGCAGCTCGCCTTCTCCAAGGCCGCTCTCTATGGTCTCGGGTTCCTCCACGACAACGCGCGTCCTAGAGTTCCCTCACACCGGGTCCTTCCCCGTGCGCATGCGTACCGCTTCCCCGGCTAGCCCCCCCTTTTTTCCCTTCCTTTTGGCGCGGGCCAGCGGCTGTAGGCCGGAAGGGGGCGTGTCTCGCCAGGGAGGAAGGGGCGGGGCGAGGCAAGGAGGGAGAGCGAGCGAGAGGGGGAGAGAGAGAGAGAGAGAGAGAGGTTCGCGCGCGCGTTTTGGGCCTGTTTGGGATTCTGGGCCTTGCACGGTACATAACGCGGCTGGAGTCGTCCTGGGGGGGCGCCGACATTTTCTGAATGGAGGGAGCGCGGGCGGCGGGGAGTGGGAGGAAGGGCGCGGGTCCTCTTCGTTCTCAGCGCGGGAAGGAGGAGGCGGCGGCGGCGGCGCGAGATAACGCAAGTATGGCGGCTGGGGGGTGGGTGGGGGTGACGCGCATCGGCCGCCCCCCTCCCCCTCCCCCTCATGGCTTGTGTCGGGGGCTCCGGGTTCAGATTCGCGGGCGGGGGGGGACGGGCGGGGGGCGCGGCTGGACGGGGTTCCCAGGAAGGGGTGGACCTCATCGACATCTACGCGGACGAGGAGTTCAACCAGGTGAGGGGGGGGGGAGGGCGCTCCTAGGTGGCTCTCGTAGCAGGTAGGGGGGGGGAAGCCCTCCTTGAACGTTTGGCCCCCTGTCGAGAACCGTCGAGTGGCGGCCGTGCGGCCTCTGTGAAGAGCAGCAGCCTGGGGTCCTCCTGTGTCAAGCGTCACTGCTGTGCCCTGCCTTCATTCACAGGGGCGCTTCGGGCAAGCCAGTCAGGTTGGGCATTGGAGCTGGAGAGGTTGTTCCGCTCTCCAGTGTGAAGTTACATTTCCTCACCCAGGGTGGGCTTATTTTTACAAAAAGAGGTGCTGTATTAAGTGAAAAAGTGAACGTTGCTTGGTCAGTGTTGCACTTAGCAGCTGTAATAAGCTATTCGTATTGATTGATGTGAATAACAAATATGTGGGAAGAGACTAAATGGAAAAGCGGGGGGGGGAGGAAGTGTGGCTACTCCTTCGGTGCGCGCTGCAAAGAGGACGGCTGGAGGGAATAGGCGCGCGCCAGCGTGATCACACTGAACTAGTCTGTCTGCAGCCAGTGGCAAACCATTTGCTAGTAGATATTTGCAGGTACTTTTTAACTGCACATCTTCGGTGGCACACCACAGGTTGGCTATGGGTGCGCTACGCTTCCCAGATGTTACAGTGTGATCGCGCCCCGAAAATCCACCCAGTATTTGTGCCTTTCGCGCAGCAAATTCTCGGTGTGACCGGGGCCATACTTCATCTTTTTAAAGCACTGGTTCCCAAAGTGGACAATACCACTCCCTGAGGGAGCTGGAATGATCCAGGTGGGGGGGTCAGAACCTTGGGTGCAACTGGGGTGTGTGTGGAATACAAATAAGGGGGTGGTGGAAGCATAAAGAAAGAAGAGTCCAGAAGAACCTATCTAAAGCAGCCCTTTTGGTGGTAGGCCAAATAAGTTTCGGAACGTATGATGTAAAGTCTGGGTAAATTAGAGTAAGAATGTTCAAAGACCTCCACGGTCTGGCCCCTTATATCTGGGGGACTCCCTCTCCTGTTACAACCCCCCCCCCCCCCCCGGCGTCGCCAGGATGTTTGGAGTCCCGTTGCCAGAGCGACGCATAGCTTCACATCCTGGCGACGCCGGTGCAACGCATATCGCTGTCCTCCCGCGGCAGGGATTCTGTGACAACGCACGGATCCCCCGCCGCGGCTTGGCAGCCCTAGCCTGGCCCCAGGATGGCTCGGTTAGCTGTCGGCAGGGGAAGGGCCTTCTCAGTAGTGGCCCCTACCCTGTGCAAAGCACTCTCGGATGCCACCGACTCCTTGCCGGACTTACTTAGCTTCTGCAGGGCATGGAAAGCTGAATTATTTAGGTTGGCCTTTGAAGGATAACCAAGTGTTTGGGCTGTTTTAATAGTGGTATGGTGATAGTCACATATTTTAATGTTGATGTATTATTTTTGGTTTTTAGTGTGGCTTTTTTCCTCCTTGGCTTTAATGTTGTAAGTTGCCATGAGGCCCTTTGGCTGAGTGGCAAATAAAAATATCTAATAAATAAAATAAATTATTGAAAAAGTTATGGTTAGTGTGGGACTTAAAAATGTATAATGAAGCATATTGGGTGGTCTGTTAGTAAGAAGAGAAGCACCAATGAGACTGCTTCAATGGTGGGATTGCATTGCAGATATCATTTGATATATTTTTTCTAAGAATGTGACTGGTTAAGTGGCATGGCATGGGTATAATGTACAGTAGCTTTATCTACCCTGTAGCATTCATCTCTGGTCCTCTAGGGCATTCGACAGAAGTGCCGCATCGTGAAGATGGGAATTCAAATTTTGCAGTAAATTATTGTCCTTTCCATACTTAATGTTTCTCATGTATGTGTTTATCTAGATTACTCAAATAAGGGAAATACTATTGAAACAGGCAACATCTATTGTGTTGCTTTAGAAAAATGTGTTGTTATTCGCAACATCTTTCTGGAGGCACGTGTTGTCACTTGTTTTAGCTCTAAAGCTATTCACAGCTGAGTTCTTCTAAGCATGTACAGATACCATTTTAGATTTGGTGGAGGCAGTAGTAGAGAACAACTCAGTAAGGGATGAGATTGGAACCAAATTCGTATCCTGTAGAATTGCTCAGTAATCCCAGACCTATAGTAGCTATATTGTTATACAGTGGTAGAGTATCTGTTTTGCATAAGTACCATGTATGGTTCTTGGTGATAATGATTACATTTTTCTGAGAAGTGGAATGTGGAAAGAATTCTGTTTGATGTTTGAGAGCTTCTGTCTGTCAGAGCAGTCAGTATTTGGCTATAATTCATAGATCTACAGCTTGGGTTGCGAAGCTGTTCCTTATCACTAGGTTGGCCTGCCTTTGCTAGCCAGATTCATCCAGGAGTAACCAAACCAGAGATTTGCTGAACTGTACCTTACGGCTTACACAGATGTAAAGGTGTGAGATCAGTGAATGGGTCTTTCAGTTTAGTTAACTGTTAGTAGCAGCTACTTGGTAGGGATTCCCCAGCATGATTGCAGACGGACAGCCGTAACAAAATGAAACCAAAGAAGTGAGCTGTGAGTGATTGAAAGTTCATATTGAAATAAATGTTAGTCTTTAAGGTTCGAATGAACTTTTGTTTTATTTCCCCAACATGTGTACACAGTTTTCCTAATGGAAGTCACACCCCAAGCTGCTGTTTGTCCTGTGGGAGAACACAGGTACCTGTATAGTTAACACACAACTACCATGTGACCCATCCTTGGTCCGGGACATAGACCCACACCAAGTCTACACTTGGTGTAGACTTCTTAAGTGACTCTTAACACTTCTATGGGGAGAGCTATTCATGCCTACTCTAGTGGGTTGCATGTTTTCATTTTATCCTTCATGATAACTCCTTGTTTCAGGAGTGTGTACGGGAGGGTGCTTTTTCTTCTGGCCCAAATGTAGGTGCAGAATTGAATTTGGACTGCTTGAAAATACATGTGTAATGAAGTTGAACAAGTTGCTTGTGTGGTGGGAGTGTTACGTGCACAGCTTTGATGCTTTGTGTCTTTGACCATTATCCCCCGGCTTCCCTTTCACCCAGTGTTTTCTGGATGCTTTGTATTATTTCTCTTTCTTATACGGAGTCAGTGGTGACTTATACTGCACATCTCGATGATGTGTGTATTTTGTTGTTTCCCTGTTGCTTATTCGTCTGTGACCCACCCATCTCCCATGTTCCTTGACTTTCATTTCACTGACTGAAATGTTGTACTACCATAGTTGTGATGGCAGCTATATAGTAAATTCTTGTGTCTGTGTAGTCCAATAGCAAGGTTTACAATACGATAGCGAGGTTTTTTGTCATGTTGTAAGAAGTCTGGACAGTGGATGCCACACATACACAGTGTTTGTGTACAGAACCCTGTTTTGTGTTTGGATGTGTCACACATGTTGTTCTGGTTTTTATACCCCACTTTTCTCTTACCCTGAGGAGTCTCAAAGCGGCTTATAGTCTCCTTTCCTTCCTCTTCCCACAACAGACACCTTGTGAGGTAGGTGGAGCTGAGAGAGTTCTGAGGGAACTGTGACTGGCCCAAGGTCACCCAGCTGGCTTCACGTGGAGGAGTGGGGAATCGAACTTGGTTCTCCAGATTGGAGTCTGCCGTTCTTAACCACTAGACCACGCTGGCCCCTGCTGGGTGCTTCTAAGGTGGCTAGTAGCTCAGATGGCACTGTACCTGTGGAGTGGTGTTCTCATGATGCGATAGGTGCTGCTGAAGACTGGGTGCTTTTCTCTTCCCTTTTGTGCTCCTTGAAAATCCATTGCTGAGGATTGGGGGATCCTACAGAACATTGTGGCATGGTGGAGGACGTTACTACAGCAAGGAAGAGCAATTGATCAAAATCCTACTCCTTTTTTGTGATGGGAGTCAGGTTGGGCCAGTTGCTCCTTGCTGCAGCGCCCCCATGCCACATAGCCTATTCTGGATCCTCATGGGGCCCCGGGGTGACAGAAAGATTCTGAGAGAATGGAAAACAATAAAATTTCTTCCATAAATCTTGCTGTGTTAGCAGAACCTGGGATCCAAGACCATGTGTTTAATTTGAAGAGTATCATTCTGGTTATGCTGTCGAGCTTAGCTCAGCTTATTAAAAAAGGACAAACATATTTCAAGTCATTTTTCCCCGATACATGTAAAAGTGAACTACACATCCCAAACAAAATTGCTGTGTTTCAATGCCCAAGTAATTAGGCTGTACTTTATCCTAAATGTTTAAAAATCTCCTGGGAGCATTCTCTTTACAGTTCTTGGTTCACTTGAAAGAATTGCAGAACAGAGTAATAAAAGTTAGCCCCAAACTGCTTTCCGTGCTGTTAAAAGGGAAAGTCAGTTTGTTTCCCAAGAAGGTGACAGTAGGCATTCCAAGTGGCTTAAATGAAATTCTTTATGTCACTTATAATTCAGTGAAGTAAATTTTAAGGAAAGATTAATGAGAATATGATGGCTATAAAATAGCCATATTTTGAAAAAGCCATGTAGAACAGAGAGTACTATCACCATGTATGATAGCAAAATAATGTCCTGTTAGTCTGAAGTTAGTTCTGTGAATAGCCTGTGTCTGCCTAAGAACGACTAGTGGGTGGGTGGGAAATCTCTAGGATAACAATCAATACTAAATTGGTGTTTGAAACCTGTATGCCTCTATACTTGCTTGCTGATGCTGTAACTGAATGTATGAGAAAATACTTTACAAGAGATGCGGATGCTAGACCATATATATATATA